ATGGCCGGACACCACTATCATTTGCAGCTGGGGGTGGACATGAAGCGGTGGTAAAGCTACTGGTTGAGCGAGATGATGTGGACGCAGACTTGAAGAATAAGTACGGTCGGACACCACTGTCTTATGCGGCTGGGTCAATGTCTTTTGTAACTGAGTATGAACGTGAAGCGGTGGTGAAGCTACTGGTTGAGCGAGATGATGTGGAGGTGGACTCGATGGACAATAATCATCGGACACCACTATTATGGGCAGCTGAGTGTGGATATGAAGAAGTGGTGAAGCTACTGGTTGAGCGAGATGATGTGGAGGCGGACTCCAAGGATAAGTGCGGTCAGACACCTCTGTCGTGTGCTGCTTTGAATGGATATGAAGCGGTGGTGAAACTGCTACTGTGGCGAGATGATGTGGAGGCGGACTCAAAGGATAATGAGGGTCGTACACCGCTATCGTACGCAGCATGGGGTGGACATGAAGCGGTGGTGAAGCTACTGGTTGCGCGAGATGATGTGGAGGCAGACTCGAAGAATAAGTACGGTCGGACACCACTGTCTTATGCGGCTGGGTCACTGTCTTTTGCAACTGAATATGACCGTGAAGCGGTGGTGAAGCTACTGGTTGAGCGAGATGATGTGGAGGTGGACTCGATGGACAATAATCATCGGACACCACTATTATGGGCAGCTCGGAATGGAAATGAGGCGATGGTGGAGCTTCTCAACTCCCTGTCATAAATACCGAGCAAAAATCCAAGCAAATATTTGAGAGGATGATCAGGCTCCAGAATAGCAGGAGATGATACCTGGCGTAACGTTCCAAGTGAGAAGCGATGTAGGCTCATGGCTTAGTGGAGAGACGCAACCACTCTGAGGATATTGCTAATCTGCTGAGGCGATATTGACATCCACAGTGCTCCTTGGAGCAGGTGCCGATAAGGCTGACTCGCGAAAAGATAATTGTGCATGTGCATTCAAAAGGCTGACATGACCGCTTCAGCCCACAACATTCAAAGGTCATAATTGTCTTGTGGTCGATTCTCTTAAGTTTTCTTTCCCCTACAAGATCTTGTCATTATAATACTAATTAGGGGAGCCAAGCAATCATGGATTACAAGCTGCCACGGATATCAAACAGGCCCCTTACCCCAGACACAGAAGTTCAAAACGGACATATATGGCAAGCTGGTATCATCCTTCTAGATTCCCTTTCTCGAGGAATCCATTGGCTAACAAGCCTGTTTCATGGAGGCAAAAAATCGGGTGAAAACTTCCGACAGGTCGTCGGCCAATTCATCCACGGAGATCGCTGCAACGCAAACCAGGTTTTGCAACCGTCTGTTGACCGGTCCCTGTCTGACTCTGTAGCTACCACTGTAGCTACCTCTGTTGCTACTTTCCTTGCTAGCTCAAGAAACTCTAAATCGCCTGAAAGCTGCATGAAGACAGGAAAGCAAGATCTACCCCCACTGGAAGGGAAAAAGAGAGTAGCCGAATCCTCAACGCTCTCACGAAAACTGGCGACGCAAGAGAGGCAGCAAAAGGGACTTCCAAGAGTTACAGTAATCAGTACGACGACGATAAACGATACGATTCAATACCTACAAGCGGTATCTGACCACATCTCAGCTTCCGACACCATTTCCTCCAAGGAATGGCCAAGATGCACCTCGCCGCGCAATCGCTACTGAGGAGGTACGAAGATATCATCGCGAGGGAAAGAATACAGATACACGGTGTGTTGGATTGTTTTTCTTCACGGACTGAATCAGAAGAAAAGTGCCCGAGGTGTGTTGCTGCGGATGAGGAGCGGTTATATGATTGAGAAGCCCCTCGTTCTTCTTAGCTACTGTAAGAACAAACCGTTAGGAACTGAGTAAGTAGCGATAAGCGGCAGATTGCCCAACAACACTGAAAATTCTTGAACATGCTGCTTCTGCCTTGAGTGGCACTCCGCCTTATCCTCAGCTTATTTTTCATTTATCTGGATATATTGAACAGGAGTACGAATAAATACCTCCATTACGAAGACAATCTCCAGACGGTCCTTTAGTTTCATGGCCTTTCCGAAGGTGTGTTCACTAACACTGAATATACTAGGTGAGGATGAAATATTAGACAGATCAGCTGTGGGCAAAATGCCGTTCGCTGGTCTGCGGCAGGCTCCCGCATCCGAGCAAGAGAGAGAAGAAGGCTCCAGAATTATTTATTCAGGGAATCCTAAAACTTCTGATCTTTTAACATTAATTACCTCTTCCACGAGAATGGAAGTGCGGACGCAAAGAAGATACAAGGTATCTAGGCAATGATAAGGTGTACATGGGCCATGTTATGGAATCAAAAGCGTAAGCAATCGCACGTCCTAACTCAACTTTACCGAGATTACTGTGAGAACCAAATTCGTTCTTGTCAATACCCCAGTGGGGGACCCAATCTTGTCTTGTAGCAGCCCTCACAATTTCTAGACCCTATAGCTACCTTCGCCGTTCTTGCCAGAACAGGGAGTGACAAGGAGTGACAGTATTGTTTGAGCTCTGTCTGTATGGTACGACAATTTCTTGCGTGTGGATTTCAGTATCCGGTTTCGTGCCAAAGCCTGGAGCGTCCTCTCGCTAGGGCTCTTTTCTTTGTGAGGGCTTGGCAAATTTTGATGAAATTTAGAAGTCTAAGACTTCAAATGAAGCAAGATTGTTTTGTTTGCTGGATCTCTGTGAGGTTATTGATGTCCACGTGGTCTACAGTACATCTGCATCGAATAATTTAATGTGCCTAGGGTCGTAGACAGCACAGCTACACCTGTTAATGATGTTGTGATATGAGGCTGGTGCAGATCAGGAAGCAAGCCGAACCATCGGAATTAGTCCCGAGATATGTATACGAAGAACCAAGTTGATTTCCAATCAACTTGTTCTTCTCGTTGTATATATAGTCTCAAGTTTCCCACCGAATAATAGATGAATCAATCTTCCTTTGAACTACAACAATGCCGTCCGCTACGGAAACCTTTCCACGGTCAAGAGCGTCTTAAATCAACCGAACGTCCAGGTGGACGTCAAGCACAAACACGGCCGAACGGCGCTCCACCTAGCAGTCTTCGCAGGCCGAATAGGGCTCGTGCATCTGCTACTTTCTAGAGGCAGCGACCCTGATCTACAGGATGATTCGGGCCACTCGCCATGGGACTGTGCACGTCGCTTCAATAGGCCCGTGATGGAAATGATTTTTTCAAACGATCCGAAGTCCGAGGTGTTTCTTGGTACCCAATTATCACAGGAGGCCGAGCTACCCTTTCACCAAGCAGTATCCTATGGGTCGGTAGATGTTGTCAACGGCTTCTCGGACAAAAGGGTCTGAACTTGGACATCCAAAATAGGAAAGGCTCTACGCCGCTCCATCTCGCCATTCGAAGCAAGCGCCTGAAAATGGTCAATTAAGTCACCCCCGTGTCAACGTGAACTGCAAAGACAAAGATGGCAATACGCCACTGTGGCTGTCGACTTACTCGTCATGTGACGAGATCATGGAAAGGTTGTTGGCCGAGAAAGAGATTAACGAAAACTTTGTAGGAGGCCGCGGAAAGTCCGAGACGCCGTCTACATCTTTCCATCACGCCGCGGCCAGATTGGATACCGTGTTCCTACGACGGCTGCTTGCGGTGCCAGGGATCGGGATCGATCCGAAACTTTGTGCTTGACGGGCTCCGTCGGGCGAGTCGTGGACCAGAGCAGACATGATGACTGCAAAAAGCGGGGATATGAGCTCAATGTAGGTGACATTATTCTCAGTGTGAGTAGTGACGGCCCCGAGAATTTGCTCTCGGGGCTCATAACCTGTTGTAGTCCTGTGGAATTGTGTTGACTGTGATTCTGAGAGTATTCAGGAAGCTATATATACATATGAGGTCCAAGATGATCTTCAATCAACATGCTTCTTCGTATAGACACTTCGGGAATTATTTCCGACAGTGCGGCTTTCTTCCAGATCTGCACTAGCCTCATATCACAACAGCCCGCCCCTCAGTCACCGATTCCTCTGGTCCCAACCTCTCGTTCAGCTCTTAGCAATGTTTCTAAGAGCTTAACGAATTTGTTGACGGGAAATAGAGAAGTTTTGCTTGCTATGGTGACCTTAGCTCTGCTTTATGTGTATTGAGGTGTGCATATCCATTACGAGGCAAAAGTTATCATCAACGAGACTCAAATATTACTAGCTAGACTTATGGTTGTCAATCAAGTGAATACTCTTAGTCTAGCTGGACTTATTTCTTCCCAGAGCCCGAGGGAGTAGTATAGGTCGAGCCCCCCTGTCCATTGTTGTAGTAGGTGCTCCCATTGGGGTTAGAGTAGTAATAAGAGCCGTTTCTAGAAATTATGGTCAATGCATGGGATAGAAAAGTCAAGCCTAGGTAGCTGGTCCATCTTACGAGTTCGAATAGTGGTAGTTGTTCGAATTCGAGACGCTGGAGCCGTAGTCGCGGGAGCAATAGTGATTACCCTGTTCCTTTGTCATTACCACACCAAATACTTCTTAATTAGTACCTAATATGGAAGAGGGTTCACGGCAGATCATGAAGTACGAGGAACGAGACAGGACTTGAAGGCTTGTTGTGACATACCTGGCTGTTCATGCCAGAGCTGGTGATGTTGTATCCCTTGTTGGAAGACATGTTGGCAGAATACGGACAGAGAATAATTATCAAGGTAGCTGTCAATAGTGTAGGTAGATGGAAAAGGAGGGGGAAAGAGGATATTCCAGGACGAGGGGTAATTTGGGTGGATCGTCGGCGCCGGGGGCAAAGTAGTTTCTCGATTTTGATTCGACGATCTGAGGAGCGGTACTCCAGAGTGGCGTACCACAACTAGACGAGTCTCATTCGACAACGCGTCTCCCAATACGTTTTGCGTGTTCAAAATCGGTTCCGCATTCTCTCCAAAATACGGAGGTTCCGCTCTTTCTTCCACTTCCTTACATATTCCTGAATCTCAGCTTCTTGACCAGCTCGACGACATGTTAGCCTCACGAAAGGTGGGTTATTGCTTCGTTCCGAGTAGTTTGAATCGGCGCTTGCAACTAAAAATCTTATTCAGCGCGCGTCTTCACCTGTCGAGGCGGACCAGAAGAAACCGAGGGAGAAGGCCCGTACAAGACCCAACCCAAAGGAGGCCGTCAAAAAAGATGTTGGGACTTGCTCAATGGACAAGAAGCAGATTGGAGACCGCGTCAAAGCAGCACTGGCTTTGAACAAGTACGCGCTCAACCGGACAGTCATAAATGTAAGTCACAGATTTGGTAGAAACGCGCAAAGCTAACACTTGACAGCTCCAAATAGACACGGCATTCTTCCGCACCTTCTTCGTTGATAATGATAAGCTCAGCAAACCAATATCAATCACCCCTACGGAGTTCGACGACACTTCCCCCGTGGTCGTTGTAGAATTCAGCCATCACCAAGCAGCCGAGTTGCTCGGGGTTAGCAAGGTGAAGGGAGGAAATAGGCTAAGTACAACGCACCTGGCGGCTATGTGTGTTGTATTTTATCCCGGCAGAGGCACAGCCAAGATCTGGCTGTCCGTGTAGCGTTTGGTCTTCTTTTCAGGCAGCTTTCATGATGCAAAACGCATAGAAAGCCACAATATTTTCTAACTAGAAAGATGGTGGCAGCAAAGGGTTCAATTTGGTTTGTCTGATTAAGATCGAGATGCTCATGTGATTTTTCGAAACAAAAGAACGGAGCCGTTCATTCATAGATTTCGCATGTTTTTAGCGAAGTTGAAGCAGAATGCATGATAAAGATTCTGTCCTCATATTGTGTATGAGCTTCTTGAGATTGTCACCACATTGGCGGTGGAAGGGGATCTCTTTTCAGCACAAGTCTTTCTGGGAATTGGGTCAAAGATGACATGGCGAAAATGACGGAGGAAACAGTGGGGAACTAGTGGGGAATTAGTGATTGTAACGATATGCAGAAAGGTTTAATCTTGAGTTATTCAATTCTTTTCAACCGTCCTTTCAAAAGGCTATTGGATCTTCAACTTCAGTTCCCTGCGGCAAGCTGGATCGAGGGCAACCGTCAGGGATATACACAAGGCAGATATGTAAAGTGGAGAGATGATATGCAACCCTCATAATGTTGTTTCTGTTGAATCACACGATGTCTAATGGTAGAAAATAAATAAAGCATGTAAACAGTCTATTCCAGAGAGGTGTATACGTCTGGTCTCTTTCTCAATAAGAAAGAGACCCTATTTGGATGAAAGGATTTCCCCTGAACTAATAGTCCTTTTGAGGAAGGATTCAAGCTGACTGATTCATGCCTGATATTCCTTATACACCATCTATTCATGCAGGAATCTCAACACAATCACAACGCGTTTTCCACATTCGTTGGAAAGCTCAGAAACTTCAAAAGTGAATAGAGTAAAACTCGGAGGATTGAAAAAGAAATCCAAAGAACAACGTATTTCAACACCGCTCATAAATTCAAAAGTTGGCTCCAGTTAACAAGGACGGCCAAGATTCAACGGGTTGACGGGGCTGAGTACCAGCGCCCGCGCCCGCGCGACTGCGGCCTGACACTTTCCGCAGCCTAGACGAACAGAACCACACACAGTTCAGACAATCAACACTCGAGCGAGGCCAGAAAATTTCCATCTTCCTTAGATGAAAATGTGAGCGCTCTTGGTAAGATCAAAGAATGAACAGCTTCCGTCGCCTCAATATTAAGACCGTAGATTCAACAGTGACCCAACGTTTCTTAACCGACTGACTCACTTTGACTCATTTTCAACATGACTTTAGCATGTTTTCCCGATGAGCATCTAAGATCGCACCACGAATTTCGCTGCTAATAGTTGCGGTAGAATGAAGGCATGGGTTGCAACAGGCCTCACTTAGGATAGACGTCGTGTTCAATGTTTGCTCTCTGGTAGAGCCCGCGTGCTACAGGAGCCGAGAACCTATAAATACGTCCTCTTCCCCCAGCAATTTGTTCTCCATTACCATCACTTGGCTATGCAGAGTCGAGGAGGTCTTCGATTCCTGATAAGTTCTTCCCTTTGACCTACTGGAATTTCACTGTATTGACATCTACAGTTACATCGTGGACCGACAAGCTAGAAAGTGCTTGTGAGACGCGACGACCACCAGGTCCACTATCTCACTCATGCCAGCCGATCAAAGAAGCAGATTTGGGTTAGCTAGTCAAAGTACCTATGCGAACATCTGTCCACCATAGCAGCCGACCACTGTCCGCTCCTGAATATACCGATGCAGAAGAGCGGTCGAGGTAAGTCTGTCTCCGCGCGACCCTATCCGAGACTAGACTGACTTCAAAGACGGTGCGAAACAAAGATCCATGCATTCCATCCAATATACACCAGCCACGGTGCCCTTTCCCGTGTCGTCTTTCAGAACATGTGAGTCATGCATTGCCTTGCCGATCGACAAGCTAACGATGGACAGGAAACTGTTGACAGCGCACCAGACCGAGTCCGAACCAGCTCTCCGTCAGTGCTCCGCGCAGGGTCATGGCTTACACGCCATTTCTGGCCCCTATCACTTCAAACCATGCAACATGTCCTATGTGAAATACTGCAACTAAGGCCGCGGGCAAACAACAGGACGCATAAGCTCCGGACGTTCGTTGTCCACGACGAGGTGAGTGTAATATCACGCCTCCTGCTGCGCCGGGTCCGATGATTTTTCTCAACTCTGTGCCGGAGACACAAACACCACTGACATCTCTATGCCATTGCAGGAGCAGCCAGCCCATCGCCAACCGCGACAATTCTTGTGGCGAGTAACCTATTCCCGCCGAGTCAGATAAGACCCAGGGCCCAACGCGCCATCGCGTCTTCCCCTCCTCACCGCCTTCACACCATGAACAGCGGAGTGCCTCAACCTCTCGCTGTCTGCACGAAGCTGTCTCCTAATACAACTGTACAATTTCTTGTCACGCGTGAGTCGTCATGCGCCTTTGCCGTCTTGTGAACTTGTCGGTTCATCCAGCGCGACTTCTCGAAGCGACAGCCGGAGATTGCGACGAACCTGAATACAACATGGTATATTGGTGACTACATCGCAGAAGTGAATTGGCAGTGATCTAGTTGGTAAGCAGGTATGATCACGAATCTTGTTGATTATCTGTCTCAAGCATACACTCGGATTCTTCATGAATAACGTAAAGCACAACACCTTGTCCAACTGAATCAACACTTGCTGACTCGGGTCTCACCACAGGAAGACGCCGTCAGATTCCCATCACCCGAATGCAAAGCGAGCAAATCTCTTATCTGCTCGACCTCCCCTACATCAATACCATCTATGCTTTGTTTCTTCCACATGACTACTGGTGGCATCGACGAGTCGCTACCTCGACCTTCTCCCAGTCGATTTGGTTCATCAGATCATGCGTTGGTATGCCTACCTGATGCAGACCCAATGGAGCGCATAGCAGTGTCTGTCTCCCGGCATTTGAACCCTCTCGTAGAATGGCCTACTTGCGGCTTGGATCCCTGGCGTCCAGTGGGTGACCATCGTTGTCCTCAGATGGCATCTAGCGTCTTTCGAGCCTGAAACCCCTAAGAAACCGGGAGACGCCAATGCTTTGTCTAGCTAGAGCCATATTTTCGTACTGGCGAGGTTGTTAGTCGGGACTGCTTGCATGGAGAAGGTGAGGCAAAAGTCCCGTCATTTCTACCCGAATCAACTAACAATAGCCAGTCAGCTTCAAATCGATGGACAAGACCGAGGATGGCCAAACGATTGAGAGGACCCATGACCCAAGAACCACGCCTGATAGAGTCCCCCTGGTTCCTCTTCCTCTCCTCGTTGCTCAGCTTATCGACATATTCGAGCGAGCGGGAACCACTCGGACATACACGGAGCTGCATGCTATCAGGATTGTTTGTCTCGTCCCTGTTAGACAGGAGCTTGGTGATTTCATTCCTAAGCCTGTGTTTTTCTATCCAAGCCCGAGCACTACGTGCAAAGCCCATACACCTTGAATGTCAGAGCAGCTGGAGGTCAGTCAAGTTATCCAGTATCGTTCGTCCATTGAGGCCGTCGTCTAACATATCGCAATTGGAGGCGCAAGCACGTCTTGCCAGCAAATCACCGATTCCTCTACGTCTCTGAGCTCACTGTGCTTTGACCATCTATGATGTATTTCTCCGCGCCCAAGACGAGATCTGGCATATCACTGTTGAGCAATTCACCGTGAAGGTGGGTTTGATGTCTGTAACAGCACTACAAGAGCCCTCGGGTTGTAGGACCTCTGAATGTCCCGTACAGCCTAACTGAATTATCTACCCTAATAAGCGCTCATGTTACGTTTGCTTGGGGAGGATTTGAGCGGATGCCTGCTAGGGTCACACGTAACACTCCTGTAGAAATATCACCAGGTCCCGAGCGCTGATCGTGGAGAGTGCCTTTACCGGTTCTGATTCCAGATGGCTTGTTGGGCCCCGATCGGAATTCAGTCATGCTATATCAGCAGCGGAGCATGATTTATCGCATGTAGTGGGGAATAAGCGTAACAGAAGGTAACGACCGTTTCTTCGTCGCTGTAGTGGACTTCTACGAGAGTTGGTTGGATTTACTGGCGGGATATTATTCACAAAGTTGCGACGGCTCCTACATGTAGAAGGAGCGGGTCAGATATTCCCGAGCCAAAGCTACCAATGACATGTTAACCTCGGGAGAACGAAACTCACTCTCGTAGTCGCTCTATGATGTAGGCATTCTAGTGTAGAATAGGTTCGAGTAACTAGCAATAGTCATTTCAAGCAATTTTTTTCGCGACGCAAGAAACTGAGCCTATCGCATAATCATCTTGGATTGAATCCGTGATTCGGATTTACGAAATACATCACATGGCTCTACACTTCCTAGTTCTGATCTTGAGTGTACAGTATATTGCGTGATCAGAGTTGCACAATTATTTCGAGGCCATAGTCAAGGTGTGACCAACAGGGATCAAAATTGCTTTGCAGGATCAAAAAAAAAAAAAAAAGGCAATTGAAGTTTCTATGATGTGGGGGACATGGCAAGAGACCGCGTTGCCTATGTGAGACGGTGACCAGCACTCCCTTCACCGCCCGACCATTCACCACATCAACATCAAACATCAACATCAAACATCAACATCAAACATCAACATCAACACATCAACACATCAACGCATCAACACACCAACACATCAACACTCTCACTAACTCTCACCAACATGTTTGCTCTACGCCTGAATGAAGGGTGTCAATTTCACTACGCGAAAGCATTATCGGACCGCAAACTATCAGCGCAGAACATTTGGGAACCTCCCTTTGATAA